TGGAGGGGCCCGGGCGGAACCTACAACCTGGAGCTACCAGTAAACCAAAAAAAAAAAAGTTTTTATTGAAATTAGAGGGAGAAACTTTAAGCTCAGTGTTGCCCCCTGTTTGCACAGGTTGATAAAGAGCAGGTCCAATAAAAATCTCCAGAATTTTTATCTGTTCAATCACTGATTTGCTGTGGATTGATCAGAACTAGTCATGGTTAGGTGTTATGGTAATTAATCACGATTAATTGAGATAAGATAACAACAAAATGTCATTGTATCACTAGAACAGAAAGACCAGTAACAGCAGCTAGAGGTCAGTGTTTCTCACCGGTTGTTGTTTGTCAGGAGATTTGGTGAAATGAAAACTTTTTCCTGCAGCATCTGTAAATAAAAACCTGTCTTTCTGACCAAGTGTAAAAAAAAAAGAGTTCAAATAGTTTATTCTTATTCATTTTGCAAATTAATTATTGAGGTCAAGGCATTTGAGCTCCTCTTTGTGAACTTCATTTTTAACTGTGTTTACGAACAACGTCGAGTTTAGTATTTTTTTGACAAGCCCTATGGAGCATCTAGATTAGTATTTTTTTGACAAGCCCTATGGAACCCTGGTCCTGGTAGTTTTATTCCTCATTTTCTCGGTGCAGCTTCTTCCGTTGTCAGTCGTTAAAAGCCCTCGTTCTGGAGGGTCCTGTGGGGTCTGCAGCCCAGCGCAGGTATGTGTGCACGCAGGACCAGAGCAGTCCAACCCTCCGTCATTACTGGCCTTGCCTCGTCAGCTGTATAAAGAACCGTAATGACTTCCTTCCTGACATGAAAGGGTGCGGCGGTGGGTTTAATAGTCCATATTTTTTTTCCCTCTGGTAATCATGGTCTAACTCATCGGGGCAGCAGTGTAAATACTGAGCTTCCTCATTCTGTGTGGTACGACAGCTCTGAAATTTCATCTGCAGCAATTTGCGTTTTGAAACGGCACTTGTTTATCAAAACACAGCGGGGATTTGGTCGCAATCCTGTTCACTCTGTGTATTTTATAAATGCGGCCTCTGGTTGTTTCCGTTGTGATTCCTGCGCTTTGTTATTCGTATTCCTGACTCATGTGAAAACAAACGGGATTTGCACAATCAAATGATTGTGTGTTGCCTCGTCCTGCCACCGCGTGTGTGTGCGTGCGTGTGTGTGTGTGAGACCAGTAGAAACTGTGTATATTTATGAGGATGACCTTTGCTGCCACCCCTTGGCAGCCGTGCATGTGTATTTCCATGATACTTTTCTTTGTATTTAGACAGAATCCGCTCTTTCCAGCAGCTGCGTTTTTATAA